CTCTCATAAAACAACTACATGCATAAACATACGTGCCCCGTACCAAAGTATTGTCTTTACACTGTTGCTAGAAAAGCATGCTTCGGTAATTTGTAAAAAATGACGGAACGAATATAGCAATCCCTTCGCATAAATTTTGCTCACGTCAATTCATCCATACCAAGTACAGTGTTTACGTTGTTGACTGCTAATTAAGCTACTATGTTAATAGTAGCTTCTGAAGCGATTTTCTCACATTTTATAATTACGCATCGAATACGCTAATGAGAAGTAATACAAATATTAATTGCTTTTGCATCATTATAGAGTTGCGGTCTAAGTCTTCAGGTTAGCACCGCAACAAATCGTGTTTGCAAAAAGTGCGCAGGATTATTGCAGGCCGGATCCTGCAGTGATTTGACTTAACTGCAGCAGACAGTGTTTTTAAAAAGAAGCTTTAACCAAATTTTAGGAATTGTACAAACTTAGCCGATTCCTCATGGTTGTTAGTACAACAATAACAACGTGATCAACCGAGTCACGCCTATAATTTCTATTTTCATCCTTTGCCAACACCAAAGGGATACTTTTGTATCGTTTGACGTGTATGTTTGTATTGATTCCTGATGCTCACCTAAGAGCTGCTATATATGAGGCGTTCCTTCAGCCTTTGTTACCCCGGCGAGTTCCTGCTTGACCATCAACGGCATTGATTTTATGGAGATATTTAGCTGCCTTATATAGTTTTTTTTAGCTAATCAATCGTAATTACATGTATCCGATAGTAGATATATTTGCGTGCTGTGGTAGATAAATAATAAAGTATATTAAATCTGATCACTCAAGCGTCAGAAATTTCGCCTACATATTAACTTCACCTACTTACCAGTCTATTCTGATTAAACCTTTAGCCCGTACTGTAGCATAGGTCCGCGCGCAGACAAAAGTTTAAGATCTATTATAAAATTAATATTACAAGCTATACAAAATCCAATAAGAGAATAGCGGGCATCTATGTTCTCGAAAAGGACTCAACGATTTCAATGACGTGCTGGCACCTTAGTGCATCGTGACCAAAGGCATATCTTTTGCTGTCTGGGAACAAGTTAACATTAGATGTCGCAATTATTGCTTGGCTTCCCAAATATACAAAAATCCTTCTGGTCATTTTTGCACTCAGGTGTGTGCACCTTGACTTCTGTGTTAAATCGTGCTTTAATTATGACAGGGGGACAGATCTGCTTCTTCTTTGGAAAATTTGCGTTAATTTGAAAGTTTAAATCTTTAAAGGTTTGCAAAAAATACAGGAAGCTCAATGCAGTTACAACTAATATATTATGTATTTCCTTTTAGAATTAATTATAATGATAACGTCAGACCGTTATATAAAACAATATTAGCGATAAAATCAATTACCTGCTTCGTTGAATGGTGGGTTTACACTGAACTTGAAAAAATATATTTATTGATTCTCTACCAGATGGTCAAAAATACTGGACTAACAATTCTCATGTCTCAACTAGCCATGCTGTCATAAAACGATATCTTTTTAACCCAAAGCGCCGCTAGAAGAGATGTGCGATTTAGATCGAAGTATATGTTTGAGATAAAACAGTTGACCGCACCAATAATACCTTTGAAGCCAACACAGAAATCTATGGTCATTTCAGTTATCTTTCTGTTGATCAAGACAAAATCTATAAAATATGTTATTACATCATTCAGGCCATGAGGATATATATAGGAGGAGCAAATTGTTTTCTTGGTTCGCTAATATCAGCTAGACAAAGCTAAAAATCGTCTTTTCAATGAGGGTTCTGTCTTCTTGCAATTTCAATAATAGAGTGATATACTGAATGGCTATTTCCGACAGGTTATAGTCGCACGGTGCAGTGCAATCATGTTACAACAAGAATAGGCCTGACAACAGGCTTTAACCTAATCTTCAGATGTTCCAAATTTCACCACAAAAGCTAACCTAGTACAGCAACAAATTTTCCGTCTCATAGTCTTCGCTGGAAGATTATGCACAGCGTCGCGCTGCCATTGATACGCCGTATATTAAAAAAAAAACATTTCAACCCGTGTTATATATATTATTATTATTATATTAAAAATAGTATAAAAAAACGTATTTAAAAGGAAGATGAATTGCGTTTTACGTAAGTTCTTCTATTAATACGCTGTACGTAGATGCTGTTATCAGCAGCTACTCACCTTATAATGGGGAGTAAATAAGTGCATGAAGCTTTGGATACATTAACTTCATTCAAGGCGAAGCCAACCCATACCAGAGTTTGACCAGGAATAATTCTGTTTTATTATATCTCTAAGATTACCTCATATCTTAAAATAAGGACAGTTCAGAATCAGTCCTTCATATCAGACTGTTTCACACGCTCTCGGAGCTTGTTTCACGCGCGAAATAATATGCCGTGAATAGCCAATGTGTTCACTAATGTATGTCTGTTATTTCAACCATGTGTTTCAGCGGTGTGAATTACATGTTTGAATGCTTTCAACAGGCTAAACAAGTGAATAATCAAGTATGGGGACTTTTCGAAGCGAAGTGTCACGGTCCGGGTGGCTAGTGAGTGCGTTGCAACATGCTCCCATATTGATTTAGATTGGCACATTAGCAAAAATTATTATAAAATACGGGATTAGGGTTAAATGAAAAATAAAGAATCATAGGGAATTACTATTAAGGTTAGTAGCTGCTCGTATGGCTTCCATGTCGTCTTATAGTTTTGCTGAAAAAGCTCCAGATAAGTCCAGCAAGGCTCATCTCGGCTAAACTCGTAATGAGGCTAAGTTCTTCGTCGAAAAAGGTGATTTGCTCACATAGAGGAAATACCTGAAAGCGCTAAATGAAAATATAAGTAAAAAATAAATATGACTTGTTAACTCTTCGGTCACTGTATTTGTTAGAATAAAAAAAATGGCAAACTAAAGCCAGCAGGCCGATAGCTTTAATCCACTTATTAAAACATTTAGTCGATTAAAAATAATTTTTTCTGAAACGTCTATTATTGAAAAAGACATTTCAATGCTCAGTCAATTTAGAGATCTTCAAGGGATCTCTTCTTTGCTTGCGTAGAATCGGTTAACATTTATTAATGTGAGTATTAAGCGTATCCTCGTTATATTACATCACCAATGAAAAACAATCGAGCAGATACATTGATATTATAATAGACTTTTCTTATTGAAAAATTCTATATCGCTGAATAGAATGTATATCGAATTTAAAATGAATCTCAGGTCACTAAAAACCGTAACCTTAAATATGTGTCAGCGCCTATAAAAACTAACCTTATTTTAATATAACATTCCAATACCATTCTATATGTTTCCAGTTCAGTACGTTACAGTTAATAATTACGCTTAAAGAGAAGCAATCAAGTAGCATAGAGCTACGTCTTTTGTTACAAGTTTGAGTAAAGTTATACAGCCTAAGAGAATGTCGATTTTTCCACCGAACTGGCGGCACGATAGTTTTTTTATTGATTACTTATCCAGAAGATATTCATTTTAGTATCATTTATGCGCTTTAAGATTATTTTTGTATTGCAAGCATTTGCAAGTATTTTTGACTAAATGTACCATTATTAAAAATTGACAAAATTTATTCATAGACTATTCACTCATTTAATAACTATAGTGACAATACTTGGCAACAATTTGGCTTCAATTCATGACATATACCGAATTATTTTTTCTGAAGTGTAGGTTGGTAGTTTATTTTTCTTAAAAAAATGCTTAATGTTTAAATGTTAAAAGATGTTTAAATGCCTTTGGGCTCAGTAGAGCTATGTCTGTCTGGGGTGGCCTGACAAGTATGAAGCCTGTATGTCGTGGGCCCCAGACGCTTTAAAATGGTCGTACTTACTGCGGTCATTCATTGTCTACTAAATCATCTGGACGTACTGGGCGGAAATTGAAGTTAGTACTGTATGGAATTTCTATTTATGATAAAACACTTTAATTTCTTAAATAAAACTAGAAGTCTTAAGTTTATTAAAACGTTATTAATTACACGTATATTACAAGTAGTGGGTGAACTTAGGAAACTTTAACATTGAGTATATTCAGATTTTCATTCTTTATAATTGCTTTTCATTGCATATGACACCTCAAAAACAGTGTACTTTCTTATAAAAGCTAAACTTGCTTGTGTTCTAGAACATTATTGTTATTATTACTCACGAAAGCATATACGATGACAACATTGCTTCTGCAACTGCATTTCTTTGCTCTTCTCCCGTATAGTGACTGCCATACGTGTTCTAAATTGTTTCTTTTTGCCTATCGTATCCACTTGCGTTTGATCACTTGTGTCATTTGAACTATTTGTATAATTAAAAAATATAAGCGAGGGGCTAGGGACAGTAATAAGCCGTATATATTTATCACTGTATCGTTAATGCTACTGGTAGTAAGCCGTTGATAGGTAAGCAGGCCTTCACGTGTACGGCAAGGTTTTCGACGCTTTGTTCCGGAATTAAGTAGCCCTTGATGTTGCACCAGCTGCAAAACTCGGCGTAGAGGAGCAATTGTTGTACTTATTCTGTTATCCTATTCCATTAAGCATCTCGAGTACTATTTTGTATTTTGTCTGTTACTCTATAGGGATTATTTCAGCGTCTAGCGTACTATACTGACAGTGACAGCATAAAAGCGACAAATGTTGATCGAATTGATGTTATCTTTTCCCGCAAAAGTATAATTGTTTAAGTCAGTATTTTAGTATACACAAACTATAACGTGACAAAGGAGCATACAGCAAAGGTAATTTTACATGATATAAGCAAAATCGCGTGATACAAAATATTGAAATAAATCGTACGTTTCTGCTGTTACACACAGTCATACGTGCACTGATGTTGCGAACATGATCACATATTTAAAGCTTTAAGACTCAAATTGAAATCTGCCCGCGTTAGTCCGATGCGTAACAGACGCCGTTTCCATTAAACCGAGAGCAAATGTTTATAAACAGTGGTTCGCGGAGACGGGCACTCGGAGTTTGGAAAGCACATGCGGTAGTCACTGTTCTATGAGGTACCGTTCGCTTAAATTACGCAGGACGCTCAAATTATACGGGCCCTGATTGTTGGATAACGGAGTGCGCTATACAGTTTGTTTGAGCATTCACGGTGAATTCCAGTAGTCTCTGATAAGAAAGGGTCATTGATTAAGGACGATGTGGGTTAAACAGGCACCACGAGCGCTCATTTCCCGTATGCGCGCAATCTCCACCCAATTTGGTAAGACATTTCCGGTTGGTCAAGAAGATTCATCTATCTCAGTTCGTTCTACGCCATTACAGTCTAATCTACTTAAACGTCTAACACACTTGTATCCCAATTACTTTGCGTGCAGGAGTGAACGACCTAGACGTATGAAGTTATCCATTTAGGTTTTCGGCAGCGAGGTAAATTTATCCTTCTGATTGAAGAACTGATCATAAAATTAATATTTTAACTTGCTACACGTTGTAATCCATTCTGTCGTCACTACAAAGTAAAGTAGTAACTTTACTGTTGAAAAAAGGACTTCGACTGCTAATCAGAATTAAAAAAAAAGTCTGGGTGAAAAATCATCAGTTGTTATAATCAAGTGTAGAATCTGAAATTCACGTCGTGCACTGACGAAGAACTGTGGATTGCGCGTACAGGTCTTCTACATATTGTGATTATGATTATATTTTAGTCCGGACTAAAGTCCATAAGTATGCATGTGCCTTGACTGTATATTTTTGATCGTTGAGTAGGTGTGGTATCAAAATGTGGTTTGTTTTTTGTATTTGGTTAATTCTCGTGCGTATGTATATACTGGAGCGATTTTTAGGTGCCTTTTGCCGCTAACTCAATGAAGTAATCTAATAAACGTAAGCATCCGGAATTGCTTTTAACACTGTCAGTCGCAAGAAACATGTGATAGGTAAAGATTCGCGTTTAAAGAAGGATTTATTTAAATATATTAGGGCAGATTAAATAATTCTGCTTATTTAAAAAAATATTAGCACTTACAAAGATTGTTATAAAAATGTGCATGACCTCAGCAGTTTAGAGGTTGATCATATTAATAGTTTTTAAAAAATGACATGCCAACAATACGGACATGGAAACTTTTGCCGCACGCAGTGCCCACGTATTGTGAATACTAAGATTTATACAAACTTTCCTAAAGTTTATTTTGATAATCGTTTTAGCTTCGTTTTAATTAATAAAGATCGTTTCTATTTTATGCAAAGTAAAGCTTTCGATGTTACCTAAAATACCCCATATACAACTTTATATCTAATCTTATACTACCCACAGTTTAAAATGAAAATTTTAATAATCAGATGCACAATTTATGTATTATAAGTGCCTGTTTCAACTTTATTAGATATTCATTATAAACAATAGCTTAACTATTAAATGGTCGTAGATTTCCACAGATCAAATTGATGTCAATAAACTTAAATATGCGTAACTTAATGACTAATTGTCCTTTCAGCTCCTGCAGTTGCTGCACAGTCAGAAATGGATGAAGCCCATGATCATGAAGACCAGGTCAGTGTTGTATCCGATGAAAACTGAATGTATGACATTTGCATCATATATCTAGGGTTTTTCTATGATTTTTTTTGCTATTACTACCTAAGGCCATAATACTTACTATTATAGAAATTCATTATTACGTTCAGTTGACATTTAGTGAGAATAATGTCGGGATGACGGTGGGATGGCCGCAGAACATACTACAAAAAAAAGACACGAAATGAAATCAGGTATATATATTAAAGACAACAATTAGTTTAGATCAATCGTGGGTATTGAAGACATTTAAATGAGACATGCTTGCCTAGTTTCATTCTGCGTAAATATTTTTTTGGGCCAATTACAAGTTACTAAATCAAATTTAAGAAAATTACTTGCATTTTGTACATATGTCTCTGCTAGCAACTTACAACATTGCTTGTTTTCAGCCCATATGGGGGATGTCGAACCCGTACGATAAGGAACGCAGGGAGTGCCTATTATGTGCTCACAAAATTGTTATTGACTATAAAGTACGTTAATGGAGTAATAGACGCTTCAATATATTCAATCTATATATTTTTTAGAATATTCTAAAAAAATCAAGCTTATATTAAATGCATTGACATATTGATAAAGTGCTCACTGTAGCTGTGGAAAAAGATTATGAAATTAAAACAAGCTTAAATTACACAGAATATTGAGATAAATGGGTACTGGCAGTATAACTAAATAATTAGTACGTTTTTTTTTTTTATTTCACTTGTAGAATGTACAGCTTATCTCACAGTTTGTGTCGCCACACACTGGCAAATTGTATGATAGGCACATCACTGGTCTGTGTTTGCAACAGCAGAAACGTTTGCAAAAGGCACATATAATGGCTAAATCTCTTCTCCTAATGCCGGACTACTTTAAAGATCTTCGGTTCGTCAAGGATCCCAAACTATTCGACCCAATGCGGCCGCAGAGGATGAATCCGTACTAAGCGAGTCGTTCTTGATAAAATTTCGAATCTGGCAAGTTGCGGTTGTACGGGCTACCACATATAATACAAAAAATGGATGAATATATATCAAATCTGAGAGAAAAAGGAATTCTGTATATAGGGCCGTCAATTTTCAATTGTAGAAGAATTGTAATAAAGCGGTACATGCATTTTTACTGTAACTATTAAAATATAATGGGCTTTCCTGTTAATGCAGCTGAGCGTAGATAAAAAAAATATGTGGAGTTGAAATAAATGAAAAAAATATATAGTTGTACAATTCTTTTGTCGATTTCTACAGAACCTATTATTTACATCGATATAATGTAGATATTATTAAAAATCTGAAGTAAAAGTCGCGACCAATATTCTCGATTGGGTTATTTTTTGTGAAATGTTTTACTGTAGCTGATACGAAACCAAACGTGAAGCTAGGTATATCTCATCAGATAATTCCGCTTGAAATGACTTGCTTTGACTGAAGGTTATTCAGGGTCATAATTTTCCTATTCAAATAGCTCTGGTAAAATTTATACTCATGTGCAAATACGTAGTAAATGATACTTTATTATTAGGAAAATTAATATTCTACATTAGTTTATAATTCATATCACCAGTTTGTCGAATGTCAATGACGTAGTTATTCTCTTTCCATAAAAATTAGTAAACAGTTACTTGATACAACATTAATATATGTAGTGCTTTATTGACAAACTTTGTCGCACAATATCGTGTGATACACAAAAATGTGAGAACACCTTCATATATAAAAGCATCAGTTCATCTATATTGTTTAAATTGAATATTTTTGTTGCTTAAATGAAAGGTTATTGTTTCCATCCATTCCCCGGTATTTTATTTCCACAAGATTTTATAATGTCGCCTAGACCTTTACATGTTCTTGCCAATGCTTGTCAAAAGCTGACGTTATCTGATTTGAATCGAGCGCTAACGGGGAAGGCTAGCTTGTATTTTAACTGGTGAACCGTTCTTAGCCTCTTAAATGATGGCAATGATTTTAGGGTGCATACAAGTGGATTCGAGGATAGCAAGGATATCCACTGTTCTGGCTCTTTTGGAGTCACACAGGTTGATGAGAGTGCGCATATAGCTCAGTAAATAAGACTGAGCACTAACTTAATGCAGGTAGCGTTGAAACGATCAACAATCTGACAGTAACAGTCGTAGTCAGGACTGCGCAGGGGTAACTTTCGGTGAATAGATGCGGTCTGTTCCAAAATCTTAACTATTTGAGTGACCTGCCAGGGTAAGAATAGACATAAGCGGTCATTAGGTCAATGCTCTTTTATTTTGATCGCTGAATATAGAGTCCTAGCTGCGTTGGTTCTATTGTGTTCGTATAAAAGGACGTACAATAAGTTGTTGATCTTCAATCTGGAGTGGATATAAAATGTAACTATGAATAATGGCAACATTTACCTACCTTGTTCTTGAGGGACATCCTGGTGCGAAAAAGGTAACTGAGGACCTTTTTTGCAGCTGAGTTCGAGTATTTTCATCGTAGGTATTTTGAATCTTACACCTCGGGATGGCAATGGAAATGTCCCGTGCTTTGGTAGGGTCAAGGTGGGCACGCGGCAATCGGCGGGGCGGAGAAATTTTGTAGCCCTAGAATACGCCGCATATGATGAAGCGGTAGAAAACGGAGAAATATAAAGAAAAGAATTCACTAATTCTTTGTCTGTTTTAATATGTAGTATAGCTAGGCTTGTTTCGGAGCTGAATCGACTCTTCATTACCCAAATTCCTACTAGGCTACACGATGACCTTTCAAAAGAATCGAGGTAACTTTTCTTGTCTTATCACTCCGAAGTATCGACCTGGAACTGCAAGAGAGGCAAGATGGCACCAATAGTAAGGTAGTAAGTTTCCATATTCATGCACAGTTGAGGTTGTAGTCTCTCTCTTGACAAGGGTCAACAGTTTGAAAATTTTTGCTGGGCAAGTCCTCGGAGTTACACAAGCCCTCAGAGTCCTACAAGTACGTCATCGATGTTTCATGGATTATCATAGATTCATTCTACAATCGCGCACAATATTTGTAAATTAATACTATTTATTGTTGTCGCTGTTTGTTTGAGCTTTGTTATGAAACCTTCAATGCAGATTTAATTACATTGTTTTTGATTATGCTTCTCTGTAACTTCATCCCCTTGATGAAGTAGACATCACCAAGGTAAGTCTGACGGACATCGTCGTAGTAACAAGCGTACGACCTCTAATCAGGGAACGACGCGGTAGTAGCAAACACGTTAATATTGTTAGGCAAAAAACCAGAAAAGCATTCTTAGTAGCCTCCATGTAGAAGACGAGGCAGGTGAAACGCTTGTTAGTGTTTATGTGTACAAGAGTTTTTATAAGTTCTGTAAGTATCCATGAAAAAAATGTTAGCGAAATCGTAATGGAAGTTAGATTATTTACCGTAGTTCGGTATAAATATATAAGTGATAGAGGGGGGATAAATAGTTGTAGAAGGTCGCGTTTGTAGGTACCGGCAGCAATTACATTGCAACTAAGACCACCTCATAGCACATTAATCCTCTAATCACTGTAATAGTTTGAATGACATTATTGCTTGAAGGGTTTTTCTTCTCTATTATATAAAGTTATAACCGCGTGCTAGATCGGCTGCTGAAGGCGGTGCACTAAGACCCTCAGTCCATTTGGGTGCCAACGAGTACTGCGCTGTATTGTTGGCCTTTATATCGCATTGAGAGTTATCTGAAACGCTCTGATACATTTATCTTTATCTACAGTTTACAGCGTAGCTTGAGCTTTGGGTGCACTTATATAGGCAGAGCCGTTGCGTCGGAGGGACGCAAACACAAGGCTGTGATGGCTGCACCGTCTGTTGGTGTTTAAAGTAACACGAACATTTTATTATTAGCCTAAAAATGCTCTCATCTTCAGATCTCGTATGCGTCATCACGCACGTAATGTTTATATTATATATATATATATACGTTATAAGTGTTTTATGTGCTGTAGTAGTAGTTGTTGTTTTTGCTGGAGCTGTGTTTGACGTTATGTCATTTTCCTGACGATTAGATTTCTTTCGCTACCTTCCAGCATGTTATTGTCTTTTTTCCACGTACGGTTCGCATGTATAAACCGATATATGTTTAAAAAAAATTCTTACATAGCCCGTGCAATAAAATATTGTTTCAAATAGTGTAAGCTTACAGAAAACGCTTTTTTCGAAATACTGTTGCGATCGCTTCACCGAATTATAAAATGTTATTTTAAGATTAAGCTTTAAGGTGTGTGTCCCATTTTTCAGCAAAGAACAATTTTGATAGCTTGTAAAATGAAAAACATATGTAATCTCAACAGACGAACTATGTAGAAAAATCAGGGCTACTTAAAGCATAAAATATACCGAAATAAATCGTATTTTTTGTAGATACTCTTTTAAAGGTATTAATCGGGTTGGGGCTTTTGTCTTGTGTCTCTGCGGGCTTTTTTAATGTATCTCCTGTTCTTAATAAAGGGTCAATATTGTTCTCTCTTTTGAAATATTATCGAAGCCGTAATTGAAAGTAAGTTTTTGACCTGAAAAAAACAATGGCAGTGGTTTGAAGCCATCTTCCAACGACATAATGCGAAATGATTGCTAAGCACATAATAGCTTGCTCTAGAGCAGACGTTTAAAGCTCTATGCATAAAAACCTGAGGACTATGTGCTGATCTGAGTCGGTCGTTATTAATAGAAGCATTGCCATTTTCCATAGAATCCATCGACTTCTTGAAGGTGTCGATATTATATTATTAGTCAAGCTGCTTGGATGCAAATTTCAGGTTTTTCAGACTGCAGTTCCTCAAACAGGATAGCATTTTGATTCGCCTAAACCTAGTACGTGCTTCTCAGGTTCTTGAGGACGACATTTCCCATTATATTAGTTAATGGCCATGTATGTTATTTTTTTCCAGCTTGAATGATAAGAAGCAGCGAGCGTCTCATATCAGCAATTACACAAGAATGAATGTACTGAAATTTTACGATGAAATCCAGTGCTTTGCAGGTGCACAGTATAATCACACGTTCAGACAAAATTTATGGGCACACGTGGCGTCTTGTACAACCTCTGAGAGTCGGTCTATTAATTTTTTAAGCTTTTTTGTATTGCCAGGAAGTACGTTTATTGGCATCCACATTCAATATAATGCTAAAACAGAAATGTCATTAGGTAGTATGATATGCATATTTTTAGAACGGCTCAGAAACTGATCGATGCTCGTGTTTCATTGAATGAAGGTTAATTTGAACTTCTGTTCATTCGTTGTTTTTGATCCTTGAACGTCCTAAATGGTTAGTCCAGTAAGCCTAAAGGAGTAGATTTGAACTACATAAGAAAAAGCGGTGGAAGAAACCACGCTGTTTATTTTATACCATTATATATTATTGTATATATTCTACATTAAAAAACAGCTAATATTGCACGGTTCTGCATTGTAGTTAATTGAATAGCATAATATGGGTAAACAATGACGATGCATCACACATCAAATCGTTCCGGCCTGTGTCATAATCGCTTTTTAGTTTTATTATATTATATAAACTATTCTTACTGCATTATTGTAGGCATTAATGAACGTCACTAATTGAATATGGGAGTTCTATGGAAAATATATTAATAAGTTGATAAGAATATCAAATTAATACATTAAACTAATGTATAGCTCATTAGGAAAATGCTCTTCTTTGTTCCCTGAAGTGTTATACTCTTTCAGTCTAGTTCCACTTTGCTTTCTTATGATGAAATTATTTATTTCAGTGTACCCCCATTTCTCAATAATTAGATAGTGTGTCGCGTGTTTCAATGGCGCATAGTAATCCCACAATAAAAAAGCAATATAAAAGACACAAACATAACTATGTGCAGCGTAAGTATGTTTACTCAAGTTAGTTGCTCCATTATATGGCCACTTATTAACAACTGCAAAAATATGATCTAAATTACTTCCAATCGAGTCAGATATATGCACTGTAATTTTTCGGGCCTTCAAATTTTCAACCGACATCGAAGCTCGTTATGATATTCTACTTTCAATTTACATTTTTAAGCCAAGTGCTAATCGTGGGCTGCATTGCTTTACCAGGCAATCGTTGCCGTCATTAGCATTACAATTAAAGGATTATGATATTCAAGACATATGTCTCAGCCCTATAATACAGAGGATTATCCATCCGCCGCACGTCAATACCAGTGGTAGCCCTTAGGACGACTATGGCTACCGTAACAAGCAGATCGGTAGCTAGCAATTAAAGGATAACTGGCTGCCCAGAGTTTTACTCTTTGGATACAAA